CTGTACCAGATGCACGAATCGTGGCAACATTTCCATTGGCAAGGAAGAATGTTATCATTTCGGAAGTTGTCGATAGAGGTAGGGTCTGGAAAAAGTATGGATAAAGGTTGCAGGAATGTCACTTTGCTTTCATAGAGGATCCCATGCAGCAGCATCTAGGGTAAACAAACGCATACCATAGAGCGCGTGAGGTAGAAAAACTCACAGGCTTGTTGTCAGGTTGCGAATTATCGTAGCCAATAGTAAGATCACGAACACTCTTCACAGCTACACCACCAACCTTTTCAGGGTACTGAAAAATTCAGATATCCTGATTCGCTAAAGAAATGCGAGAAGGCGAGAATGAGTTATTTTTTCGCATTTAAAGGCTAGCAATCCTAGAGAAACTAGTTCTACGCAAAGCGATGACGTGAGGCCTACCGCGCGGACACAGCCACTAGCTATTGATGCTTGTTTGATGGTGAGAGAGAAGTCAGCATCAACAACCCTTCATGTCTACGGCGCTACAGCTGGGTGGTCCAGCTGCATCTCAACAACATGTATCGTCCACCCCTCTCAGGGAAAGGCGTGGAGTGTGAGTTGACGGTCTAGTAGGTGACTTCTCTCTTCGATCTGAGGTAGGCACTAACACTAGGCCAGCAGCTCTCAAGTCCCACAAGGACAAATGGTGGTGGGCACCTCGCCTCCCTGCCAATTTTTGTAAACGGCCCAATAGGGTCGTTAACAAGAAAACCAGGAAAATTTAAATAAATTCCATATAAAGGACTTAAACAATTTCTCATCCTTTGTTATAGATAATTACTGTGTTAAGGGAGACACATTACAAAGATTACGACCACTTCATTCATATTTTAAAGAATTACCTTTTTATCTTTTCTTAGGGAATCGAACAATCTTTTCGTTGTTTCCTTACTTGGTGTGAACCAGTAAGAGGAGCGAATTAAATGGAATCCATACCTGAGAAGTTAGAAAATACTGATTAACTGAAAAAATTGGAAGTTTTCTTGTTGTATAAGAGTCTGGAAGATTTTTGTCTATCAACTATGGAATCTACAAATAATTCCTTTTGATAGGCAGTAAAGACTTCAAAAGTATGATTGCTCAAATATCAGTGGATCCCACTTGTTATAGATTGTATAGAGCTGATCCAAAACGGTTTTTCCTTGACCATGCAACCAAGAAGCCATCTCCGCATACACTCCAGTACAATTGATTCCATCCTATATTTTCTTTTTGCTATGAGTATGAGCTCAATATAATTACTGTATTTTTACGAATGTGCAGATCTTTTCTACATGAGCAGTGTGAGAGCGAAAACAATAGTCCTACCCAACTTTACTCTTGCTTTTAGAGATATAAGAAATTAATTTTAACTTTTTTGGTATCCGATCCGAATAGGTGAAGCGAGAAAAAAGAGGAGCTAGTTTGAAATCATGAATTTATTTTACAGAAAATTTAACAAATTATTTATTCTTTGAACTAGAACTACTACATTGGATTGTACTTACTTACCTTATCAAGTGAGTTTCCAGGCATGTAACCAATACTCTCTTCCCATGCCAAAATTACTGTTTTACCTTGAGCGCGGAGTTCTGCCGTTTTGTTACCCATCCATTTAAAACCAGTCAGAGTGAGCACATTTTTAAACCCTAGAAACATATTTGC